TCGGAAGAGAGTAGACATCGCCTGCCACCACTTTATAAACCTCCCAGCGCGGAAGCTAGAAATAATACTGCCAGTTTCACATATGAAGAAGGACCCCATAAACCGTACAGCAAACCCAGATTGCAGGAGCCGACATATTCTCATCAGCAGCCAGGTACCAGCCAGACTTCAGGACCCCATCAAGTACTAACGGTTCACGTGTAATACGATAGACTTGCGAATATTTGTAAAAGGTTCTAATTGAAGACAGAGGAAATAATTGTGAGGAAATGACATCGATATAATTAAGGAAACGTAGCGAAAAGGATTATCGAACTGGCATGTGTTTCTGCTAGTTAGTTGTAATGAACAGACTTAAGAACAAATCGCATGATTATTTTTCCTTATTAAGAGCAGGAATCATTTGTCTTAGGGAATGATATTGTGAAAAAGCGTGAAGCTTCAATTCATTTTTCTCTCTATAGAGTGATACGAAGAAAGCAGGGGAAAAGTAGAAATATGTAGGAGGGTAGAGAAGGAAAAAAATCATCGTAGCGTGTATTTTTTTTTTTCTTTTCTGAATCAGCTTTTATTACATATGAACAAAAGATTTCTCTGATAGAATTGATCGATTATGTAAAAACAGCTTTCTCTATCTTCCTCCAGTGAACCCCTCGCTATTCCACGACAATAATCGTCTACAATTATATCGATAACGCCGAGTTGTTTTATCGTTGTACATATGTACATAGCCCGTACTTATTACTTTCGCTAAGCCTGTATCACCTCTGAACGCCGTCGTCCCTATGGACAGCCTTAAGGTCTAACTATCGACGTTGTATTCGCGTAACAATCGTAGGCATTTCCAATGATCCGAAGCTGAAACACGGCCAAGTGACGGCATGCAGCCACTCGTAGGTACCGTAGAGCTATAGCACGTAGGCGAATTAATCTGCGTGAACGCAGGCTTCGGACGTTCTGTCGGACGATATTATTGTGATACTCATAGAGCGAACGAGAGAAAGAGTGCGAGAGAGAGAATATCGTGCGTAAGATTTATCAAGTCCCGTGTCACCCTCTTAAAAACGTTCGAACCACGACCTCGCGACGATAACAGCGAAACGTCGATCTATTTACTCCAAGGGTCGGTTTACACGTAATCCCATCGTCGATCTTGATAACGATCTTTTCACGGTTCCTCGAAATTTTTAAAACCGCATTGCTTCTGGAATTTTATTAAACGAAAACATTTAACGAAAATGCACGAAGCAGCCATGAATGTATCGCGAATTAACGAGTATAAGGAATAAATCCACGATGGGAACGACGTATGTATGTAGCATTTCCTTGCGTAGAGGGTGAACGGAGCGTGTTCGCGATCGATCGACGAGGAGCGACATGGTAGAGCCGTTCGCGTGATCGAGGCGGTGTATGATGTAAATAGACCCACGTACATAGATCCAGACATCCCCCTGCCCCTTTGGATCTTCCTCACCTATGCCCTCCTATCATTCCCTGTTAGATGTGCAATTTTATTTTTCTTTTCTCTTAGTATCGTTCCAGCGTATGGCGACGCGCGATCAACTACGGGCACACGAAACGCGCGTATAACTAGACTTTAACGAGGAAGGAGAGACCGTATAAACTCGTATTATATATTATTTTTAATTTTATTGCCTTGTATTAATTATTGAGAGATCACGGACAATAGTTCCATAAAAAGACTTCTGCCATCGAGAACGTTTGATCCAAACGATCTCGTGAACTCTTCTCCCTTTTTCGATCAACGAACTAATGTCCCTGGTCCCCGATCTAGCTAGCTAATGGATAATCCACGCGTTGTGATCAGCCCCGTGTCAGATAAGCGCGAAGGAAGTGTGAGTGAGTGCGTGTAAATAAAGTTAAGCTCCTTCCGGCCCCGCAATTTTTTTTTTTTCGCCTAAGGTTACGACAACAACAATAACAACGACGACGACGATGACAACGACAACGACGATAATGATAATGATGATGATTGATGATGATGATGATGATGATAGTGATGATGATGATTATGACGACGACGACAATGATGATGATGATGATAATGATGATGATGAACAAGTTTCAATAAAAAGTACAACCCTTACGACACCGTTTGGTTTTCATTGGTTTATTGCACCCGAACGCGAACAAGCCGAACGAATTCTCTCACGTGGTGAGAGCCCGAGCCAACGTCCGCGCAAGTTGCATTCAAATCACCGGGAACGCAGAATCGTAGGTAGACGTGCCTTCCGGGGGCAGTTACCAGAGGCCAACAACGAGTAGCAGAACGGGACAAAGCAACGTGTTCGGTTTCAAAAGGCTCGATCGGGGTTAACAAACGTTGGAAATCGAAAGTAATCTTTCAGACCTAGAATATCCGGTATCTATGACACGTCTTTTGGGTCCTATCGAGTTTAATGACACACTTAATCCAACGAAACGTTATATGGAACGATTCTTGATCACAGGTGAGCGAAAATTTCTGCACCGATCACGAAGTCCCCTATCTGTCCAGCAAATCAAAGCAGTAATAATATCTACCTCAGAAACGATGGAAAAAGAAGCCATAAGTGGGTAATTATACTAACTAACTTCCAAGATTCAAGGTACAAAGTTGAAAATATTAATTTTCATAGTCCCCGAGGAAATAAAATAAAGGTAGAATGTGAAATCTGATCGGTAACCCATTAATCAGGGAGTCCATTCTTCGAGTTCATGGGCGACGAGTTAACTCGTCGACGTTGCTATCGAAGTGAACAACAATCGCGTTATACTAGCTTCGATTGTTTTTAAATAATCGTGACGAGGAAGGATTTTTCACTGACGAGTCAACTCGTCGCCCCAGGTTAACGAGTTTCACGTTGCATTCGCAAATCGCAAACTCGTCGAGGGAAATATGCCATTCCTTGAAACATCGTGCTCCTAATGAAACGCTAAACGTCTCTAAACTAACCGTGATCAAAGGAGGCTCAGACAGCGGATCCGGATCTCGTTGCCGGCAAACCGGCCACGGATTTCAATAGATCGTTTCATTGAGGATAATACGATGTTCATTATCATCGAAAGCGTGTCTGAGATTAACAAAGACCCCGTGTAGGCAATTTCGTAAGAGGTCGAGACGAGGATCGGTGACCATCGGGTGATCTTGACCACGGTACACGAGCCGCGTATACAACCGCGTGACTGCTGAATGAACGATCTGCCGAAATTACAATACAATGGCCCAGAAGAGCCACTTGACGAATACCCGGTAAATGAGTCAGCCCCCGCTGCTTCGCCGAATAAGGCCCGTGTGAACCACGGGTTCCAAGAGCGCCATCACGGCGTAAATGGGATACCTTGAGAAAACGCAAGAACCAAGGCTGCAGTCCTACTCTGTAATAACAACCGAGGAAATATGATGGACTTTAACGACTATGAATGCTGGGCCCGGTTGAAGGGAACCGTCGTACAGTGGGGCCCGTTGCGCCCAAATTCGGCAAAAATCATTCTTCAGCTGATATCGCATATATATGCACATAGATAAAAGAGTTTGAGAATATATATGTTTTCATATGAATAACGTGTACATAGTATATACATATATATGTATATATATACCTTATTATCTTATTTTTGTATTTTATAAATTTAAAATGTATATTTAAGCCGTCTTTGAATTTCTCCTTGTCAATCTTATCGATAAAAATGATATTAATTTTATTAATAAATTAGTTTTCAAGTTGAAAATGTGAAATTTTGCAAATCATTTCTCGAACTCTTTTAAGTTATTTAAATTTACTTAAATCTTAGAGATTTTGAACATAGTGCTATTTCAATAAATGGTAATGAGCACTCAAAATTGGCTGATTCTTTCAAGAAATGTTTTAAACGAATTATTGTATAAAAATTAATGATTTTGTATGAATAAAATAAATACGATATGTATGAAACAAAATAATAACTAATTATTAATAAATAATGAATTATTCGGATGGAAAACTTGATAGAGCTCCAACTGCTTCGTATCATCATCATCAGTCCGATTTGGACTGTTCGTTTTCGAAAAACAGCGAAGGAAGCGCGAGTATGTGTGACAAACTAGTGCGTAATTACCTAACATCGATTGGAGATGCTATATTTGAACTGTTAATTGTGATATTTAGTTGAAACAGCTTCAGAAGGACAAATGTGGATCGAGATTCTCAACTGTTACTTGGAATTAATGTGGCAAGTATGAAATAAATTACTGTCTGCACTAGTCTAGATGAATTTATTGAACATTCTAAACGATTGTGTTTATAAAATTCATTTCAGTATGTCTCAAGAAATAAATCTCTAACAAACGGTGCCAATTACGACGTCTCATTACGAGGAAGCTGCTGCGCAATCGCGATCCATGCTTATAATTATAAATAAGGTATCGTACAAAATAAATTAAACTATAAATTGCAAAATGAATTTCAAAACAAATGAGAAGAAGCCATACAGGATATATTAAAATATATACGCCGTAAAATGCGAAGTAAATTACAAAACAATATGTGACCCAACTAGCAACATCCTGTAACAAACAAAGACATGTTTCATTTGGAACGAAAACAGGGAAATGAAAGTATAGACACGTTCTTGAAATTATCGCGTTAATCAAAGTGTTTTTCGAATTTTTATACTACTATTAGAACTCTCTCGAGACTCGTTGCACGAAACGAACATAAGGGGGTATGTGAAAAAAATGTAAAAAGTTTTCGTTCCAATGAGACACAGTATATTAGCACAGAAAATTAGGTAAAAGAAACATAAGGGAATTAACCTAGAATAAATTAAACCTTAAACACACGTACCACACCATGTCCAATATTGGCCTGCCATGACCCATAATGTCCAAGGATGTCCTGCGATGTCCCACGTTGCCCCATGCGGGGGGGCAAATAAAGTGGTACTCGCGATTCCAGCCTAGTCTCTCAAGCTTTTAGAGACTAGACTGGACTACGAGCACTACGTAGCTCTTAGCTTGGCATCGTTTGTCAAAGATAAAATTGTCGAAGAATCCAAAAATTACGAGGTAAAATTTGTTTAGAAAAATATAGAAGTATATCTTTGATAAGCGATGCCAATTACCAGGTCTCACCACGTGGAGGTGGCTACGCAATCGAGACCCGTGCCTAAATACCCTACTAAAATATAGTGCAAAACATAGTAGAATATACGATAAAAAATAAATCATGAAATGAATTTCAAAATGATTATCAAACATAATTACAAAAAGCAATGTAGAACCTAATACAAAATTTGTTACAAAATAATTCACAAAACAAATTAGAATGCAAATTACAAAATATAGTATGCTTCACATCTGCAACAAAGGAAAAGCAATTAATAACGACACGGAAATACTCATACGGAAATAATGATACGGAAACACGAAAATAAAAGTTGAGAGGAAAAATTGGTAGTTGTATTGGATTATTGTGATATTGAATAGTAAATAATTTTTTAAATACGCGTCTTGTCACTTGTGACGCTTTAAAAGTCGCAACAATAGTGGAAAGAAGTATGCGAGCAGCATATAGGGCACTATATGTTTCATGACTCCGGTTTTTTAAATTTTATATGAAAATGGGATAAACTTTTAATTCCCCATCGCGATATATTGGATTTTAAGGGATTTCGAGTAACCCTCGATTACCATATGCACAGTATGCGCAGTAATAAGCACAAATGTGCAATTGTAAAGAATTCCCGCAAGTTATAGTGAAACAAAGTAGCGAAATAAAAAGGTGCTGGTGTCCCCTTGCTAAGAAAAGAAAATCCTAACTAATAATCGGTATTATTTTACTTATTATAGCTAAGGTACTGGGGTGACTACTTTTCTATTGACTTAACAAAAATTCATGTCAGGGATACGGGATAATTTCAAAATGCTCGAATTGTTACTTTGATTTTGGAAACTACTCGAAGGGGAATGCTTTTTTTTACTCGTATTCCGCAAAAATTCCGTGAAATAACTATGACGATGAACGAAATGAACAAGCAAAAATTTTTTAATTTCTATTTAGAATAGAAAGTAAAAAGTTTTTCAACCGAGATTCTAATACGCGATGTACAAGAAAGCGCTAGCCTGAGCCAACAAATATATCACAAAAATATATATTGCACGAGTGTTATTGTACATTAGTACGTTAGCACTCGTGGTCACTATACTCGCTACGAAAATAATAAAATACAACCAGTCACCCGTGCCGTTTCGGACCATTCGTCCTACGACATGATGGACAACCAGAGGAATCGTAAACATGCGACTTACCGATCGTTGACCTCTTCTCCATATGAAAGCAACTCTGAACTGACGACTGTCGCCTTCGTCCTGGCATCAGCGTCACTGTATCTTTCCCTTGCCACGTCGTCAATGCAACGATATCAACATTGGTTGTAATTCCTTCTTCTTTTCTTGGAACACTTTCAAAACACACTCCCGATGTCGCGAACGCGTGAGAACTTGTTTCGACCGGTATCGAGAAAAGATATCACGTTTAAACACGTACGAACGCAAACGATTTAGGAAAAATACAGTTATAATTTAATTGTGATAAAAATATTTAATATTCACTAACACTAATGAAATTAAAAAAATAAAACATAGAATATTTATTTTAGTATTAAATAGATAATTAGAGACAAAAAATGAGTGAAATAATTAAAAGAATAATTAAACATTAAAGTAAATAAATTGTTAAATGTTAAATATAAATGAATAAATTAAATAAATGAAATGATTCGTTAAAAAAGAAAATTAAATAAGTTATTGAAAATAAAAAGTTAATAAATAAGCTTAAATAAAT